GGAGAAGCTGTGGCTGCCCCAGCCCTGGAAGTGTCCAAGGCCAGGTTGGATGGGGCTTGGAGCAACCTGGGCTGGTGGAAGGTGTCCCTGCCCATGGCAGGAGGTGGCACTGGATGGGCTTTAAGGTCCCTTCCAACCCAAACCATTCTGGGATTCATTCTGTGATTCTCTGAAGGGCCACATCTACCCATCCATCTTGTCCACAAAACTGAAGGTGTAAGATGGGAGGCAGATGTATGAGAAGTGTTTTGTGACCTATAATCACAAAAGATACTTGAAAGCAGCTCCTCAATGTCTGATCATCGTTTCACCCACCTTCTGGATCCCAGGGCCACTTGTGTGCTGGGCAGCCCTGGCTGGACAATCCCTGGATCACAGCTCAGGTGCCTCTGTCTGACTGCATCAGGTGGACACCACACCCCTATGGTGGATCCCATTTGGACAATCACAAACAAAAATAAGTGGGATTGTCTCTCTTTGCCTCTTCTTTGCCCTCACCTCTCTTTGCTCCACTTGAAAGGTGAACTCACCTAAGGCTTGGTGGTTCTCCCTCACCCCTGGGTGTTCACAGGCCACAGCCTCCCCCTGTGAGGAGCTGATGGCTCTGTTAAACTGCCCTGGCAGATCTCAGGCTCTGGCTGCTCACAGCTACCCAGCTAAGTGGAGGTTTGACACGCTGACAGCTCATAAACTTCACAACTGGGGGGAGGGGGGAAGCAGCTCCAGGGTCTGGTTTCTTGTCTGCTGGGAAGATCACGGGGGCTGAGCAGGATTTTTGCAAGGCCACTGCAGTGTTTGTGTGGTAGAGATGCAGGATTTCAGCTGTCAGACTTCAACACCCCCAAAGGTATGAGCTGTTAAAAGGTTAATCCCGGGATGAGCATAGCCAGGGACAAGGCTGCCACGGATTTCTGGGTGAACTGGGATAGCTCTGCCAAACCCATGCCCAGCAAGGCCAACAGTGGAAATTTCCACTGATTTTTGTGCAAGGCAAAGTCTTGACTCATGTGGCCACACTAATTGTCCAGGACTGAAGGAATTCTTGCCCATTTGCTAGTTCCCATTTCCACCCTTCCAGAAAACAAGCTGGTGGATGCCAAGCTTTCATGGAATTAAAAACTAAATCTAACAGCTAAATAATTCACTCACTAATTTAATGGGAGTTTTGATTTTGATCTTGGTTGTATTTTGGGTTTTTACACCAGTTTTTGCAATTATCTAACTGATGTTGTCAAAGTTTTTATGTGGAAAAAAACCTTACATGGGACTCTGTGATAATTTTGAAGCTTTTCTGCCTGGATTTTCTGTAGAAGGGAGACTTTTTTTAGAACAACTCTTTTCTCATGAACAACTTGGCTTTGTTAGTAGAGTGTTTTTCGACAGGAATATAGTTTTGCCAGGAAATTTTTGACTTCTCAAATCAATGCTAAAGTCAGAAGAGCCACCAGGTGCCTCCTTCATTGGTGTGGGGAGTTGAAACAAAACCCTCCTTGTAGACAATCCCATGTGTGGATTTGTTTGCCCAAACGTGTTGCATTTTTAAGGCAAGTTCCCAACAAGCCTTAGTGCTTATTTCTGTTATTTCACCAATAGAAAGAAATGGAAAGTAAACCCAAACAGTGCATGGGGCCACATTGTCCCCAGGTCAGCACCACGATCTCAAGTCACTTAGAAATTTCTCCACTGAAGTTGTTTCTTCCAAATATTCCTCGGGGCAGAG